AAAGGAAAGGAAAGGAAAGGAAAGGAAAGGAAAGGAAAGGAAAGGAAAGGAAAGGAAAGGAAAGGAAAGGAAAGGCAGTTCCAAGGAGCTGGATGAAATCCAAGCTGCAGGTAGGAATCCAAAAATAGCTGCCTCGACTTTACTGAAGGATTGGAGGCTGTGTTTCAATAGGCTGTGGAGTCCTATTGAAACACAGGGGCATCCTCCATCTTCATCTTTTACCCCTGCAGATACCACTAGCTTTTTCTTTCTTCATTTGAAATTTCAACAATGTACCTATATTTTGCAAAAATGGGTATCGACCAGGTCTAGCCATGGATTATTAAACTACAACTGGCCCATCTCTCTAGATATTTATGACGCATGCTACATTTTGGATGGGTTGGCAGAACATGTTAATTAGACTGGAATTGGGTTGGGTGATTTGTGATTCAACATGCTGTGGGAACCCAGCCATTGTCTTGGCATGTTGTCTGAAGCAGGCCATCGCATTAAACCGTCATATGCAGGAACATTCAAAGGGGGAGATTTAAAAAGCCATGGGTTTCATTACACAGCCATGCATATATTCTTGACTTTTTTAACCTCCCCCTTGGATGTCCCTGAACATACAGCTTATTAATTTGGGAGAAGTCTACTGTGCAAGCACTTTGATTGTCTTTTGTCAATATGGTTTAATATGTTGGGTGAACCCAGTCTCTAAGTAACCAAAAGTGTACACAGGTAAGTTTACATAGCGTTTGCTAAATGAAGGATTGATTTATTTATTTATAACAGATGGGTTTATGCCATATCAATGAGGCAGCTTACAAAAGATGTGTGTATTACCATATAAAATACAAAAGATGTGTATTACCATATAAAATATGGTCCATCATCATCAATAACAACAGTTATAGTAACAATGATAACCAGTGCTTGCACACATGCCCAGCACATTCTCCATTGACTCCTCAATCCCTGAATACTGCCTGAATGACCAGGTCCTGGCAAGCTTTTAAAATGGGATTAGTGAGGATGCAGTCTTACTTCTGCAGATAACTGATCCCACAGAAGGAGAGCTCCAACAGAGAATCCTTGTTTCTGAGTCCCCTCCTGCCATTCTTCATGAGGAGTAAGGAGTTTCAGTATGCCTCTCAATTAGCATCTCTTGAGAGACAGGCAGATTTCACTTAGAGCAAGTAGACTTACCCAGGTTCCAAACCCCTTTATAGGTTATTACCAGCATCTTAAATTATATCTGGAAACAATGTGACAATCAGCGCAGCTCCCACAGTACATGTCTCTGATGAAACAACTGGGACATTCCCACACATTCAGCTATATTTTGTCCCAGTTAAAATGTCCAGGTGATCTTCAAAGGCAGCTCCAGGTAGAACAAATTACAGTAGTCCAGTCAAGAGATGACATGGCCAGTTCCTTCTTTCCATATTCTATCTTCCTTGTCCATGTCCTCCACTTGATTTCATGCTGTCAAATTTTGGAATGGCCCACTAAAAATTATTCACTTATCATAGATCAGTGTTGTTCAAACTTGGCCACTTTAAGATGAGTGGACCTCAACTCCCAGAATTCCCCAGCCAGCATGGCTGGCTGGGGAATTCTG